TTACTCAAAATAGCATAAAAACTAGGTATTAAATTGACTAGAAATAATTAAATTAAATTTTACAGTTGAGAAACACTTCTTTACTTTTTTCACACCTACCGCCAAAAAAAAAACAATTGTCTAGGTCAAATTAATAATTATTAAATATCAATGGTCCATACTACCAGATGTGGCTTTACGTGTAACCAAATGTTACCTGAAGCTCGGTTCGACCCTTTTTGGGATTGTGAACGGGATTATATATATTTTTATTAATGTGTGCTAGGAGGGTCAGTCCTTTAATCTCCATCCAGTTATTTCATACCTACCCGCTCCTGGGTCATAAATTGGCTTCCCCTCCAGTACTTGCCTTACCGTTAGTGTTTGAACTATCATCGCACGGTTAACATTACATTCGTCTTCAAACTCCAAAAAGGGTAAAACTACAATCCTTTGTGCCCTGTACGTGCTGTGCACATCGTGTTAGTGTTGTGTAGAAGAAAAACTGTGTATTAAGAGTGGCCACTCTATTAAGAAAGTGCTGGAACAATCAAATGTAATTGGCTCTTTGTCGCTATTATTCATTTCTAGTTTATTAAGATAAGCTGTTGGTCTTCCATGTAACCACAGTAAATAAATAACAAGTAAACTTCTATAAAACTTCACTAATTACACCCTAAAACATGTCTTAAAACCGTAGTTATAGGTTTCTTACCTTTAGCCTCTGTAGACGGCAGAGACCTTATGATAAGTAGGTTTAAAGACAAGTTTCAGGGTGTAAAAATAAAGGTTTATAAAAGTTTACAGCTTCCTACCTCACATTCCGAGGTGAAACCACTAATATAACTGGACTGGACTACATTTAAAATGGCCTTGAAACAAAAGTGGCAACTATCCTACAATAGTCCTAATAGATTTCATTATCATTCTGTAAGAGAGGAAGAAATGCTGATCATTTAGAGGCCGTTTTGGTGTTCACATAAGCTTTCCCATCGCTAAAAGGAGACGGTTCAAAAGTGGTAGTCGATTTCGGCAACAAAACATATTAAATAATTTGAGAGCTTGTTTTTTATTATAATACTAGCCGTGCCCCGCGGTGTGACCCGCGGTTTATTAGGGATACTTCCCCGTGGTAAAACGTAGCCTATATGTTAATCCAGGGTGTCAGCTAACTTCATATCAAATTTTTTAAAATCGCTCCAGCCGTTTATACTTGAAGAAGTAACAAATATACACTCTCACACACTCACAAACTTTTGCCTTTATAATATTAGTGTGATGAACAGATACTTTAAACTTTTTATTAACCCCCGATTAATGTTAAATCGTGTTTAAAAATTGAACGATTTTGTAAGAATGCTGGTCACCCTGTCATAAGTAACGTCATATTTTTAGTGGGTGGCAGCATACAATGGCAACTCAATCACAATGGCAAATGTCAATCAGTCCAATCATGCATGATATTCGTGAAATTGTGTTGAACTTTTTATACCAATTTATGATTGAATCTTTTGAAATTAAATACCCACAAATTACCTAACAATGTAATGCATGATGAACAGAATAATTATCACTGCTTTAGTTTCCCATTAAATATAATATTTTTGAAGCTGTGGCAAGAATAATAGATAAATAATTTTGCCATTTGCCAATTAATTTTGTATCACAATAATTATTTATTAAAAACGGGAATAAAAAATACTAGTTTTTTTGTCCAATGATTTACAATTAAGTGCACTACATGTCATATAAATTTGGAGTCTGCCGGAGATTCACTATCACCTCCAAAAAAAACTGGAACCGTCTCCTTTAAAATTAAATTATATAAAACTTTTTAGCAAAAAAGTTTAACCGCCGAAAAAACTGAAAGGTAGAAAATAATAAACCTTTTAATATTTAATAAATCTTAAGTCAAATTAATATTTGGTGTCGGTGCCATGCATGTCTGATAGATCTGAGTTCCCATTTATACTTGGGTTGGCGTGGCACCGACTCCAAATATTAATTGGACGAAAGATAAAAAAAGGTTTATTATTTTCTGCATTTCAGTTTTTTCGTTAGTTTAATTTTTTGCTAAAGTCTTTATTTTATTATTATATGTGGCTTTAATTTTTATAAAATGCAACTCAGCATCAAAATCTGTGAGTGAACAAACACCCCTATTTCCCCACCCTTAGGGTAGGGTTTTAGTTTCCAAATTTATGTAGGACTAACTTTGAGGTTATAGGACAATATTTATGTAGGCGCTGCCATGAGGGTTCATAACGTCACAGTGATCTTAGCTAGAAAGTGTAGTGTTTGTTTTTAAACAGGGCGTGACACTGACACACGTAGGACAGCTGTTTTGTCTATGATAGCGAACCGCTGACGTCGGCGTAGCTGTCAAACTTCATTGATTGGGTTGGTAGCATTGAGGGAATAGTTGCTTTCTTTTATTCGACAAAAATATTCGACTTGAGACTTATAAAAAAAAAAAGTAATAAGGCAGTGAATCTCTGTTGGTGCATGTGGATGAATGGATGGAGTTTGACAGTTGTTGAATTTTGAATAATTTTTCCCATATCGATTTGAGTTCTCCATCGGGCGTTGTTTTTAATCGATTTTGAATTTTACTCGAAATTGAACTTCCTCGCTGATTTAGGTAGGTACTCTCTTTTCCTCCGCTTACGGCGAGCATAGTTATATAGTTTTGAGTTGATTCGTTGTTTCATCTCGAATGCGGCGGCTGTCTGTTTGACTGTGGCCTTTGCCTTCAGTTGGAGAGAGAAACAAATCATAGACACATATTTGGGAGTGGGCGGTCTATCATCTATGCTCAGTTGTCAAAACAACATTTAAAAATTTCACATTCTGTTTTCGGAAAAGTTTAATTCGTATTTTGGCTTCTGCCCAAAGTATATTATAAGGAGGACCATAACCTCGTCGTCGGAGTCGTGAAATAGATCCGAAAAGTTTATATCCTGAAGGATATTGGCGGAAATAGCGTGGAGACGCTAACCGAACTGTAATTCGGGTTGATAAAGTTTCACAGGTGGACGGTTCTGGATTCTCGCAAGGCGGGGCAGAACTTGTGATAGGAAACAAAATACTTGCGGATAGTTTTATATTTCGAACGGCTTATACGTTCTCCTCGAGAAATACTGGAGGAATAACAAGGAGATTCTCTCTCTGTACACGGACCAGAGGGGACGCGTGAGATCACTACAATAAAGGTTGCAAGCCGCTCTCCGGTTTCATGTAACTGCGGACAGATCATACACTCCTAAACCTATCCTAAACAAGGTATTTTTATAACTAACACCGGGTGGGCGAGGTTGGACCCCGACCTACCCCTTTCTATATATATATATATATATATCTATATAACTGGTTGTCTCATTAAGAACTATAATTAACTAAGTTTATCACCAATATCGATCAAACGAACCGTAGAACCTCTGAAATCCACTAAATAGCTTATTAAGTCTAGTCTTTGTGGTCTCTCAATGGACAGTCCATTGCAGAGTGGATAAAATACATTAGATATAGTATAAGAACTTATGTAAGTACATGGTAGATTGTTATGAATGTCTGATGTCTATATAATTCTAAGATTCATGCTAACTTGTGATTTACATAAACTCTCACTTTAAAACTACTATATTCAGCTTAGTTAGGAGAGTGAAAGTTGGTAAAATATAGTATAACATTTCTTACCCACTGGGGGAATTTGTATAAACTCTAACATTAAAATTACTGTATTCAGCCTCGTTGTGACATGTAGGGTTAGTAAAATATAGTTAAAACGTTTCATGTCAACTTGGCAATTTATATACACTAGAACTTAGAACTACTGTATCAATCTTCCAACCAATCCATAGTTGGTAAAATATAAGTATAGCATTATTTGAATTTTTTGGTTTTCTTTCTAAGCTTCCCCTGCGCTCTGAGGTAGAGTAAAAGAGGGCAGTGGAGGAGAAATTAACATCACAAAAGTTCGTCAGAACTTCTTCAATGTTAGTTGAGCATCAATGATTTTTATATTATGGAATGTTTAACTCTATAAATCTGCATTTACAACTGAAAACATTAGGGATCTTAGTTGCTAAACCATTAATCATCATCAGCCTGTTAACGTCCTCACTATTGGGGCACAGGTCTTCCTTATGGATGGAATAGGAGACGATGCCATGACCTATCCATCTGGTGCAGTGCGTATTAATTGGTGCTAAGGACTCCGGTGCAGCCGGAACCAACGCCACGGGTTAACGTGCTTTCCGAAGCACGGAGGAGCTCAAGCTAATAAGTCTTAGGTAGGTGGATGTTGCTTAACTTCCACGATCGCAGATCGAACGCACTAAGGACCTGCTCCATCGAGCTCTTCGATCATTGAACCAAACAATCGATAACCTGAACTTTTGTTAATCTTATCAAGCCTCAGGTTCAGGTAATGCTGGTGCGGTTTTACGCTAGTCACGCCGCGCGCGCTCCGCCACTGCTCCCCGTGCGCTCTCCGCATTCACGTCAACGGATTCAGTGCTGTCGACGCTGACTGTACGCCCGACTTGACAGTCAGACAGTTACCACCACCATTGATAGCCTCACCTTTTTGTTGGTCTTATCGAGCCCTAGGTCGGGGCAGGGATAGTCGCGGTAAAGTCCCACAACAGGAATCTCACGGTTCCATATTTATCAGCGTAGGGGGTATTCGCAGAGCATTGGAAGCCGCACGGACTGCCTAACGTCTTCTCCGTTTGGCACCCGTGAAACTTGTAAGAGGTTAGGTGTGAGGTCCGTTCGTTGGTCTGCCCCTTAAGGGCGCCAACGTCTGTAAATAGAAAAAAAGGTCGGGGCAGGGCTGATCGCAACGCATGTGCGGCCGAGGCGCGCTGCAGCGCTCGTCATGCCGCGCGCGCGCTCCGCCGCCGATGCCTGTGCGCTCTCCGCTTCAACGTTACCGGATTCAGTGCTATCGACGTTGACTTTGCACCTGAATTGACGCTTCCGGTGGAACTTCATTACTATATCATTGATAGCCTTACCTTCTTGCTGATCTTGTCGAGCCTCAGGTCGGGGCAGGGCTGGTCGTGGCGCGTGTGCGGCCGAGTCGCAGTGCTACGCTCGTCGCGCCGCGCGCGTTCCGCCGCCGCTGCCCGTGCGCTCTCCTCTTCAATATCAATGGATTCAGTGCTGTCGACGCTAACTGTACGCCCAACTTGACGCTGCAATGCGCCAGCATCCAAGGTTTCCGGTTCGTCGCATACTGGACAAGAAATATTATGTATAATCATCCATACGTTTTGCTCTGATTTTCATTTATCTGAAGCATCTATAATAATAATTTGAAGATTGTGAGTCTGTGACGTTAAGACTTTTACAAAAACTTATGAATGTCAAAAAAATAATCATTCAGAAAGACCAGCATAGTCATTTTTCTCCCTGTGTTAGACTTTAGACTTACATTGTGGTTTCTGCAAAGCGTTGTAGTCGAAGGATGGGGGTGTGGCGCAGCGCTCCTCTGTTGTAGTGTAACATTCGTTCTCCTTGGGATGCTTGAGGGTGCGGACGGGTGCTCGGCGACGTTTGCCACCGTATTGGGGTCGGCGCGCACGAGACAAGCGCTCGGCTCGCCGTTCCGACTATAACAATCATAAATCATCATAAGAATAAAATAACACTACCTTCTGATGGTGCTGTGTTTCTGTCGGTGAGTAAGTATGGCTACGCAACGGTACTAGTGATATTTTTAGTATCGCAGGCGTCTATATGCTATGGTGGCCGCTAACCATCAGGTGAGCCATATGCTTGTTTGCACCCATTTAACATAAAAATATACAATAGTAAAAATATCATGAGTATTTTTCGTCGGAATAGCTTGGTGCTAATAAACGCCATTCAAAACATGGGTTGTAGTAATAACTTAAGTATAAACTGATACAGAAGCATCTCTAGCCCATGAAACGCCCGTGTACAAAGTATGACCAGAAAAATACACTACCCGAAATATTAACAGTAATTACTGTTAGTGATTGGAAAACTCCTAGCGCAGCCTCGTTATATGTGATTTTGTTATTGGCTTAGCGGAGGGAGGTTCTTGTACGAAAAAAAATTGGGAGAGTGTGTGCGAGAAAAGAGCCCGCTACACTCCTCGCAACGCTCATCTGTGCACCGTTTCACAGCTTCGTTACACATCCTCGCTCCCCTCATCTTCTTCGCAGATCTCTAGTGAAAACACAGCCTCATCGACTTTTTTTTTGTACTTTTATTTATTAATTATGTCATTTCAATTTTCATTCAAGTCCATTCAGCTTTTTCTTGTTAGTTACTTTACAAGTGTATCTGCTGCTTAAAAGTTTACAATGACCTCAATTAGTCAACTTCTATAGTGAAATGAAAATTGTTACCTTTTTAATACATAAATTGGTAATGGTATCTATTTTGACATGATTCTCTAAACCTAAACGTAAATTTGACAACAGTGTATCCTTGTCATTATCTATACGAAATGAAAAGAAGAGACCAATGTTAAATTTAGTTTATTTTTAGAGAATCATGTCAGAATCGACACCAATGTTACCTCTAGTCTATTGTAGTCATGTAGTGGCGGGGGAGGCGGCGGTGGCTGCATCCGTTCTTCGCTGTGCGGTCTTCGCTCCTTGCGCTCGTGCGCACACCCCGAGTCGCGGCGCTCGCGACGCTTGCGCGCCTCTCGCTCGCACTCGGGCGCTGCCATGTCTTCCGTCTCCTTCTCGCACTCCTCCCGCTCGCAGCACTGCGCAGGCCACGCGAGGCCAGATATTACAACCCGCTGCTCGCTCGAGCACTCGTCTTGCCCGTAACCCTAATGTCATTTATGGTGTTTAGTGCGTGATGTAAGCGGTAGTGAACTGCGTGACATGACGCTTGTACTGATATGATCTGGGCCCTATTTCACCAACTCGACATGTATGACCCGACACCGATATGTCATAAAAATGACAAGCATTTTGTTACAATAGTCAATACTTCAACGACAATTGTGTTGTGAAACAAAGGTAATTTTTTGAGTCGACATAAATGTCAAATTGTCAGTAATTCTTGTCATGAAGGTGGGGCTGTGTAAGATTTGCGTTACAATTGTAGTGTTATGGTTGTTATTTACAAAATGGCTCTCCGCGATAGCTTGAAAATATGAATTCTTATACAGGAGAATTTATAAAGAACGAATTAATTCCTCCCTTTAATATCACCGATTTTGCATTTAAAGAAAAATTAGATGTAGTCCAATGTTACCTGTAGAATACCTCACCGTACCCAAAACAATCGCGTTTGTTTGCAATAAATTGCACTTTACTGATTTTTGGGTATGTTGTTAGGTTACTTACCAGTAGTTTAAAAATAAATTTGCAGCCTAGAAAGACTTGTGCTAAATGCGTGGTGCCCCAAAAACATCGAAATTTTCGCTGTTTCTCGGCTTCTCGCTTATAACTTTTGAAAGGTCCATCCTATCTATAAATTAATATTTTAAAGGAGACAAAATTCGCTATAATTTGAATGTCATTTCAACTCTGTAGGTCTGATAGATTTAGAAATACAGCACAACAGAATATGGCTCTTTTCCCCGAAAATGTGGGAAAATGCAGTCTTTGCCGCATTCCGGTCACATCATTGATTAAAATACAAATTTTACAAGAAAAGTCGTAAATATGTACTTGTATAAAATCCAATTAACTTTTTTTTTGACTATAGGGCTAACGGTTTTAATATTATCGACTAAAATAATTAAGCAAATCGGATTTCTCACAAAATGGGTCTTAGGCCGGGACTCCACCAAAGCGGAGACCAGACGAGCGGAGAGGAGATGTTTTTTAAACAACCAATAGAATTGTGTTATTGACACAGTTCCTCTCAGCTCAGCTTCAGTAGAGATCGCTGTGCGGAGATGTGTAATATTTGTATGGCGCGATGGAAGCGGAGATGTGATTTGTGCGCGGACAACGCGCAGTGTAGACGAGAGATGTGAGCGGCGTGTAGTGAGCAGTGTCACCCTCCCCCTTCTTGCCCGTCAACAACCCGCAGATCCCCGCTGAGCACTCAACCACAGAATAACTCAACGCCTCGCACCCGAGCTGAAAAACATCTCCACTCGCATAGCACACAGCACACCGCACACATCTCCGCTTTGGTGGAGTCCCCCGTGCTGAACAATATCTCTTCTCGCACAGCACACAGCACACCGCACCACACATATCTTCTTTGGTGGAGTCCCGGCCTTATCCATTTTTTATTTCGTTGTTTCTTGATAACAAGAAAACCAAAGCAACTGTTATCCTTACAGAATAAGTCATATTTCTTTAAATTAAAGTTAAATGATTGCTTTACAAGTTCGTGTTTACCATTTTTCTCGTAAAATGAGTATTTTAATAGATAAATATGGCCGAAATGCGGATAAGGCTACAATTTCCCAAAATTTGAGGAAAATATCAAATTTTTGCAATGCTGTATTTTATACAGAGTTTTGTACAGAGTTAAAATATTCATTCGTATCGTAGAAAATTTTGTCTTCTTTAAAATGTAGAAATTGACTTTATAGGATAGACCTTTCAAAAGTTATAAGCGATAAATGTTTAAACAAAATAACCTACCGAACTTACGCAGCAGCAAAATTATTATTTATTTTATTTAAAAACATGTAACGAGGTCCTTATATTCAAATTAAATTTGACTTTAGAACGCTATTGCGTTATTATCGAAAAATTATGTACCTCAAACTTAGGTAATGTAAAAACTTTATAACTGTTTTTAATTACGTGACCACCACTGTGTGCGACATAATTATGTCGGTTTGATGAAATAGGGCTCTGTTTGTATTCGTTTGTACAATATGTACCTGATTTTTAAAATCAGTAATATAGACGCCACCAAAGCTATTTCTAATAATGCTTATTATACTGAGAAGCGCACCACACAATGCATTTAATCATGTGAAGCTTGGATGATTTATAGACAAGCTAAATACAAGAAACATTTTGAATTTAACGCATTATTATCATTATGCAAAAGGAACTGTATAAAAAATTATCCATTTCAATATAATATACCCAAGATTAAAACTTTGTGATTACATAGTAATCTACAAAAACACAATTTAACGTAAAAATTCCAATGCTATTGTTTTGGTATTTTAAGTAGGTACGAGTATATACTTAAATATCATGGAATTGTCTCTACTGATTATTCGTGAAATACAAAACTCCTAAAGCGTATGTTAAATCGAACCCCTGTTTATATTTTCATCAATCTACGTCAAGATACTGAAAAGGCACATGTTTGAATACCTCACTTTCCATTTAATGATATTTTATGGTGAAAACCATGAAGGTGAATAAACGTTATACTATTGATTTACTTTCTTGACATTGAAAGTCATTGCTACGTGTGAAATTGTACATTACTGTTAATATTATAATAAATTACTGTACATGGGGCCTCTTTAGATATCTATTTTTTCGAATAAAAAACAGCTATTTACATTTCTTTTTTGACTGAAATTTTAATTCGATGGTTTAATCTCGAAATGTCAGAGAGAGAGAATGTATTTTGAAGATTCGGCAATGGAAATCCGCGGGCATTGTTTACTGACCAGAATAATGATGATGAGTGGAATTCTTTGCCCGCGCACGTGTTCCAAAAAAGCGTCATAGCACGCATATCAACTCGAAAAGGGATCGACACCGACTCTACTTTCGGATTGCCGTCAAACAGGCGTTCACCTAACATTAGCATGTAACGTAAACGAAAAAATAGCCTATGGATAGACGTAAGCTAGACTACAGAGAAACATAAGCTAGGCTACGGAGAGACGTAAGCTAGAGTACGGAGAGACGTAAGCTAGGTTACGGAGAGACGTTATGTAAAGTATGGAGAGACGTAAGCTAGACTACGGAGACACGTAAGCTAGAGTAGGGAGAAACGTAAACTAGGTTACGGAGAGGCGTAAGGTAAACTATAGAGGGACGTAAACTAGACTACGGACTACTACGCACTATCCGTAAATGGAATGCTCTGCCCGCTCACGTGTTCCCTCCCTCTTACAACCTGGGATCCTTTAAAAGAGGCGTGAAGAAGCAACATGCAGGCCGGCAGGGTGAGGATGGCTGGTGTGGCAGGTAGAACTGCTGTATCAGCTATCTTCGCGTCTGGACTTCACCTTCACTTAACATCAGGTGGGGTGGAGTCATTTGTCGGACCTAACTATAAAAAAAAAAAAAAAAAAAAAGACATAAGCTTGACTACGGAGAGACGTAAGCTTGACTACGGAGAGACGTAAGCTAGAGTACGGAGAGACGTAAGCAAGGCTACGGAGAGATGTAAGCAACCTTGCAACCTAGCAAACGTCTCTAAATAACCTTATTTAGAGACGTTTGCTAGGCTACGGAGAGACATAAGCTAGGCTACGGAGAGACGTAAGCTGGGCTACGGAGAGACGTAAGCTAGGCTACGGAGAGACGTAAGCTAGGCTACGGAGAGATGTAAAACCTACGAATAGTTGACCGTTCACTCTTGGGAGCTTATCCCGAGGCGAGGCGACTACGTTGCGATTCCGATTAGTACGTGTTGCAGTAGCGAGTTTCATACAAAGAATACTGATCGGCTCGAGTCGATACGGTAACGATCCCCTTCCGACTTGATATGTCTGCTACGAGTAAAAGGCGGAGACCTGAGCATGTGTTACCGTGCCACATAAATTTTATAACCTAACCTTTTTATAGTTTGAGAAAAGCAACCCCTGAAGCTGATAGGTAAAATCGGTTTAGGTTTTTTTCAACTGTAATAGCTCTTAAACTACGCTTTTAGCTTAAAGAAAATAATATGAAATATGGTATTCTTATCTTGTAGTCCGTTAGTTGTATTAAGTAATACTAAAAATAATTGAAAATATGAGGTCCGATAAAATTATATTTCTGATATACCATTGTTAGAAACCTATTCAGCTTTTCTTAGTCAAAATATGGTTGGTTTGCACGCAACTGGTGTGGGTGGGTGGGTAATTAAAGCTATAAATGTTTGAATAGGTATTTAGGCATTTGTGAGCTTTGGTGTACAATGTTAAGCAAATTTTAACCTTTGAATGACAGTATAGTGTAATCAATAATTGTTTTTGAAGACCATAGCCAGGTGAAAATGTAAAAAGTGAAAATGAATAAATATTAATTTTTATTCGTACTAAAATTTTAATGGGTTTTTCTTTCGGGTTTGCAAATATTCCAACATTCAAGATACCGAAGGAATCTCTTTCTATCTGACATATTCCTGTGCACCATGCACGAGTTTGGCAGATCCATATTCGAATTGCCAACGTTAAGGTTTATATGGAAACTAAGCTACGCTCCATGGAGGTTAGAGAGAAGGAGAACGATCGCTGTAGAAAATAGTGTCCCAGAAATATGGACAAAAAAAACAAAATAAGTGAGGCGCTGCGATCGCTAAGTTGGCTCAATAAATGCGGGCTAATTTGAAATGAGCAATGCCGCGAAGAAAATTTTTACATTATTCAACTAACTTCACAGATACTACTTGCCGACGGCAGCGCGGCTGGTGGTTGAAAAATGAACTACAAATTTTCAGGGTCAGGCGGGTTAATACTTTAGTACGTTGCGATCATACTCCTTCTCTCTAACCTCCATCCTGCGCTCCTACCAGACGTAAGAACAAACTAGCTTTTTCCACAGGAACTTTGACGTGTCGATACTAATACGTTCACGCTATGTATGCGTGCTTGGGGCACTCAGCATAGCTTTGAATAAAGAAGCTAGGTATAGATATTTTAAAGGTATCGTAATTATTTACCTAATGAAAAGT